AATTTCAAAATGTGTGAATATTATATTTAGCAATGTCAGATCTGCTTTGGAGTTTAAAATAATTTTCTAATCACAAAGAGATCTGGTGGTTTCACAGCATGTGCAAAGAGCAAGTTAAAGAGTGCAAAGTCATTTGTGGAGGGAGAGTCAAAGAAAGTGCAGCAGGTTGCTGGCACTCACCACTGAGAATCTTCTATGAGCATTTGTTTGATTAGAAACATAAAAGGAATAAATGAAAAAAGAAAAGCTCTGAGAGATGCCAAGTGACATTGAGTTTACCATTTAATTGAACCGGAGTTGAGCCACGATCAGACTTCTTAAGATAAACTCCATTCAGAGCGCTAAACAGCACACCCCTCTTTGGCAGCAGAAACAGGAGAAGAATGAAAGAGCAGAAAACAGCGTCTAGATGATAATCTGACCAACAGTTGCATTGAAAATAAAGGGACAAGCCTTGGCAGTCAAACATTTTAAATGCATTTAAAGGTGGGGTGGGCAGGATTGCGTTAAAGAAGCATCTTTTTTTTGTGGCGTATACACAAAAAAGCTTTTAATATCTGTCAGTAGCAATTAGTTATTGATGACATTTGATAATATGATATCGCTGTGTTTTGTTATGTCTTTATCAACATTTTAAATTTTTTGAGCAGCCGGCTGTTTCTGACTGTTAACAAAGCCATTCTCCGCCTCCCCCAGCTTGACTGATTGTGAGGCAGACGCTGCTCTCTCGTGTTGTGAGGCACGCTCCACGTCCTCCGATAACTTGCACGAGCCCAAACAAAGTTAGCGTGCTACAACATCAGACAGTAGAAATTAACCAGAAATTATAGAAAACACAAGCAATAAAACGAAGTAAATACCAGAGACTCTGGCGAAATAACAGCGCTTGAAAAGGAGGTAGACCGGACAAGAACTATGAAGCCGGGTCAACATCAGCATAAACAATGGGGGACACTTCTGGATCTTACGGACCCTGTAAACTTTATCCTGGTTGTAAAAGTCCTGAAAACATTGTGTTTGCGTGTAGTCTGTTGGCATCTACAGTAGCTTATTACTTGCTTTTTACTTTCACGTTGACTGGGCTCCATTTGTAATTATTTTTAGTATTTATCTGCATTATATCTGAATTTAACTGGAACGATACAAGCGGACAGGAGTGTCTATTTGTGGGCTGGGCTTGCTGGAGCAGAAAGGGGAGAAGAGGAGCTGAGGGGAAAACTGGTTGGGAGGGGTAGTGTTTACATTCAAGATTTCTCCAAAAAACTGTCACTTTCTCAGATCCTGCCTACCCCACATTTAATTTAAAAAAGATAATGATTTTGAAAGATCTTCTGAGTCTTATCGGCATCTAGAACACAGGTTGGCTTTCCCCACCTCAGGTTTTGACGTTCCAGCTCTGCACATGGAAGGGCAGGAAGTTCTTATAATAGAGCCATACCACCAACTATTGCTCATTGTGTGAAAATGATCATTTTTCTCAGATAAAAGAGATCTTGACGTAATGTGATTTTTGTTTTCTCTTTTTGTTAAAATCTAAGTATTAAGTTTTTACAGTGTACAACCTAAGCTTTAAGTAGCAGTGGGCTCTTAAATTCTTCACAGACTCTGCAGCATACTGTGGGATGCTCCACAAACACAGGATTCAGCCTGCAGCGGAAAACTAGCATCACCTCCTACTGCTCTACAACCTTCTCTGCAGAAACATAACAGCTACTGAAAGACTTCTGTTTACGTGTAAATTCTTGCATAAACAAATGCACATAATGGTTCAAAGTATGTTTAGCATCTACCTGGTAACAGCTGATAGCACCACTTGAGAGCATGAAAACAGCATGTCAGCAGAGCGCTTTGACAAATGATGTCTCCATTTACGGTGCAGGTGTGTGGTTACACTTGACAAGTTGATTTACTGTGTATAAAGCTCAACATATGTACAGCTGATCTCCATGACTGGTTGTGACAAGCATTTGTGCACGTTATGAGAGACACATATATGAAGGGAACAGGCAAGTGGAAAAATTACCCCACACTGCACTCACTGAGCTCTTTTCTCACTCTTTCAGTGTCACACACACGCACACACACTTACACTTGAAGGGCTGCTCATTTGGCTAAGAGACCTCATTACACGGGTGGATGGACCATCGACCCCTTGGTGAAGGAATTAAAGAAATCTCCCTTTTCCCCCCCCCTTCTCTCTGGAGCCTGTGACACGATGTCCTGAGGTTATTTACCTGGGCTCTGTAGCATGACAGGTAATCTCACCTGTAACCCCACGACCTTCCACAGGATAACTTAAATGTCTGTAGCAGAAATAAATGGATAGACAAATGTTTGCAACATCTTTAGGTGAAACTTTGACCAGATGAAACTGAGACAAAGAGCCTCCAGAGATAACAAGCAAGTAAGATTATGTAATCATTGGAAAACATACATCACAGCCGCTCTGATATCCTCAAGGATTTTTACCAGAGAGCTTCAGACTCTGTTAAATGGGCATACATGAGTCCCTTTAGTCAGTGACGCACCTACGCCTACACTTCAAGACAGTCTTGGTGTGTTGGACATCATACTCCATGACACCAGTGGTGTAGGCAGGAATCATAGTGTGGGTGTGCACAGAGAGAATTTACGTGGGCCTATTTAACCCTAAAAACAATCCTTATGAGGTACTGCAACATATATTTGAACTAAAATAAGACATAACAATCAGCCAGCTTACCAATCAATTTTATCATACAGGCAGGGGTGTAGTGCTTTTTTCACGAGTATCATAAAGCTCCTATGATTCATGTGCATCTGTGTACACGTATGGTTGACATGTGGCTCCTTTGGAAGGTTGTGTGAACACTCCCATTGAAAAGTTTACATCCTATAATTCAGCTGTATAGCAAACATTCAAAAGCTTTATGAACAGTTTAACAACGCTACGCCTCTCAGTATATAATGATATGAATATGAAAACATCAACAGTGATGGCACTGTGCAAAATACCCGGTGGCAATCAAGGGTCCCCATCTAGTGCTTTAGTGTTATGCTGAAGTCTTACTGAGATTTAGAAGGTAATAGGCTATGCACAATTACGACTTGATTTACACATAAAACCAAAGCTAATAATGTTAGGGCCACTCAGGCTGTACACAACCCAGCAACACACACGCTCTGCAGCACAAAAGACGCTCAGCACACCCACACAAACAAACCAATCATACGCACAATAGTTTGTTACTATACAAAGTAACCACAAGCACAGCCAGTGTGACACAATTCAGTCAGAGCAACAAGTGCTTAACTTAAAGAAAATGTTCGCTCGGACTAGGGATGGGCGATATGGGCTAAAAAACTTATCACGATAAGATTTGCCATTCTGGCGATGACGATAAAAGTTCAGATAAAAAATATAATTCTAATCTATATTTTTTTACTCATTTTTTCTTGAGAACACCAAGATGAGTCCGTCACTTGCATATACGTCATCAAATTGAATTTAGCGTATTTAACATGAGATGGCAAATATTTATCATGGAGGATTTTTTGAGGGTATACTGTGAACAATAATTTATTGCCCATCCCTAACTCTGACTATAGACAGATTATTCAGACGGCCAATTAGTCAGGCCTATTAGTGGCATTTTGACATAATATCAGTATCAATATCAGATCAGCATCAGCCCTCATAAGGGTCATATCACTGTTTTGAAAATGTTTTCTAATCAACCATCACCAGCATATCAAATCTAAAACAGTCCCTGGCTTGTGTTTGAATTTAAATTTGGTTTTGTTGTGTAGAAAAACAATTTCAGATTGCTGGACACCAGACAGATATCCAAAAGTCCCTTGTGGCAATATTTAATGAAGCCAAATATTATTCCATTGGCATTTATTTGATAAAAAGGTGTACTCAAGTTCAGTTATTTTGTTTTTCTTTTGATTATATTATTTAGCTGTTGAACTCTGTCAAATGAAAAAACAAACTAACAAATAGTGTGATATCAGCCACCGGTCGACCTTCTTCCTTATAACAGGTATCAGCATCGCCCACTGAAAAACTGTAATCAGTCGACCTCCAACTCTGAAGCTCAGCCGGGCCTCTTTTGTCCAATTGTTAAAGGTCACACTCACACTTCAAGACATTCTTCATTGGTGAATTTTGGATCACTTCACCTCCTGGTACCCAGGACAAGAGAATTCACTGCTTTCAGGCTGTATGGAGGTTAAATTTGATAGTGGTTTGTGAACCATTTAGCTACACTACAGTGTGGCACCACATCTTTTGGCTCTTTGACAGTTGCTTAAAGTCTCTGCTGCATTGTTTTTTCTAAAAATAAGCATTAGGACTAGGGATGCACGATATTTATCGGACCGATAAAATATCGGCCGATTTGGGGGGAAATTACGTCATTTTTTATCGGTCCGATAGGTGCATTTTTCCGATAGAAAGATCCGATATATTAATGAAATTACGAGTAACGTTTGCAGGCGGAGTAGCCGCCCGTCCGAGACGCGCTGGTCACGTCATCTATCGCGCCTTACTCGCAGGTCCCAAGCCTGACCCTGTCACTATCTGACAGATAATAAAATGTCTTCACCAGCATGGTCGTTTCTCTCAGTGGCAGAAGATGACAACAGCATTGCTATATGCAAAACCTGTTCAGCGAGGATTCCAAGAGGAGGAATGAAGACGTCAAGTATTAACACAACGAATCTGATAGCTCATCTGAAAAGTCGCCATCGCGGTGAAGCGGTAGTAAAAGAATATGAGACAGCCGCCGAAGCTGCTAGCGGTACTAAAGCTAAGACAACAACACTACGGAGGATCGATGTCCCCATTCAGCAGGCGTTTAAAAACTGCAAAAGCTTCTTAAGAGACAGCGAAAAGGCTAAAGCCATTAACGACAAAGTGATGGAGTTCATAGCGGTCGACGACCAGCCTTTTTCCGTCGTTGAGAACCCGGGTTTAATAGCACGTTTGGAGCCACGTTACACTCTCCCAAGCCGCCGCTTCTTCTCGGATGTGTCCCTTCCTGCACTCTATGATATTGTCGCCACATACATTCACAACCTGATCGACAAGAACGGACTACACGTGAGTTTTACCACAGACATATGGACGTCACATGTTAGTCCGGTCAGCATGCTAAGCCTAACGTCTCATAATAGCTCCTTTACAGTTTACAGTTCTGTTGAACAGTTCAGGGGATCAAATGAAGTTCTGCTTTTTGCTCTGTTATTGTTATTTATAGCTAATGACCACATTTGAAGAGCCAAAAACTTTTGTTTGTTGTTCTAGATAGGCCAGAGCAACAAAAACATCAGTTTTCAATCGCTGCATCCTGCACAAACTGCAGATTATATGAAGATTATAATAAATGTAAAAATATGAATTTATCGGTTATCGGTATCGGCCATGAGAAGAAGAAAATTATCGGTTATCGGTATCGGTTGAAATTTTTCATATCGTGCATCACTAATTAGGACACCACCTTAGTTAGAGGTTAACTTGTCCTACTTTGTGATATTTTTGTCCCATGACCATATTTCCAAGTTACCTAATCCTCCTAGATGTGCATCAGATCACAGCACAATAACTATATTGGTGAAGGCTATATACAAATAACTTCAGGTCATTGTTTTTGTCTTATGCACAACAGTAACAATCAGGATCCATAACAGAATCCGCTTGGGTTTTTTCCTGAATGTAGAGCAGTGCAGAGATCAGAGATTTATTTGACAAACATGTCAAGAGTCCCTCCTCAGCAATCAGTTTTACATCATTTACAGCTTGATTCATGTGTAGGTGCATACGCACACATACATCAACACACGCCTGAACCGCAGATGTGCAAACATGTATACAGAATACTAATTTCACCTAATTTCTCAAAGGGCCAGCTGAAATAATATTTATATTTGGCAATTCAAGCCTGGTGACAGTGTTACTTTATTCTAATCAGACAGCAATCACGGCTTCCAGATGTGTCCTAAAGACTGCAGGCCTGTTATGCAATCTGTGTCTGCAGCCATAGAGACTTGGATTATCATGACAACACTAATTAACATGATGACAACCAGTTAAATCCCCAACACAGCTGGGCTCTGGTCAACATGGTAACACATCACAGCCAAGTGTTCTTGACATCCTTTTCCAGAACGTTGGTCAGAGTATCCCACACAAATGCAGTGTCACACACTCACGCTTACAAACTGCTCATTGCACACTTCTCACACAAATACACTATACAGTAGTCACACACAACAACTGGCCTCGGGGGTTGTGTACATATGTGTGACTTGTTTTTGGAACAGCTTGAAGCTATGTCTCATCTTTGTGTGTGACCTCCCAGCTGCAGGCCAGTGGAAAGAAAAAAAATGATAAAATCAATGAAGCTTGGCTGGGGGAGTGTTTGTTTGTGTGTGCAACTGTGTGTGTGTGTATATCAAAGCTGCAAATGTGACCAAAATTCCTTGGGCGAGAAATACATCAGGTTTGATTGGGCCTTATTACTCACTGTCCCTTCCCTTCAGTCACACTCACAGCCCATTGAGGAATCTCCTAGTCTTTTGTGGTCACTTTTAGTCACCTCATCTCTCCCCCACTATCTACGCCTTCTCATATATTGCATCCCCCTCCACTTTCAACCCCTGCAGCCCACATTGCCACTAAAAATGTCAGACAATTGTTCCCACTAATCAAAAGAGACAGTATGTCAGTTCCATCACAAGCCAAAGGAAACAGTAGGAGCAAGTGAAATTGTTTGTGAGTGTTTGTGTTTGTGTGTGTGTTATCGAGTGAGAGCCTGTGTATATGCGCGTGTGGTAATGCGATTGTGCAAGCGGGTGTTTATGTGCAAAGTCGTATTTAATTTCAAAGGTCCAGATGTGTGTGTATGTGTCTGACTGCAGTGCTGTGACGTCAACATGTTGCCTTGGAAAGACAGCAAGGGAATGAGTGGAAGACAGAAAAGATCAGATGAGAGAAAAATGAGAGGTGAGTCAAGTAAATGAAAATAAATGTCTTTTTGAGAACAGTGACTGTATATGTATTAGAACTAGTATGAATCACATCGTGTCTCTCCGTCTGTTAAATATGATTTTGCTGTCCTGATCCAAAGAAAGAGCTCTTTACTTCACCTTAAATGACTATGCCACATATTTATGCTTCAAAATAGATCACACATTGAATAAGTGTGTTCTTACAGTGTTATTTAATCACCTTTAAACAGAGTTGTATTTATTTATTCATTTATTTTTATGTTGAGCTGACATATCCATATTTCAAACATCAAAATTATATCATCAATCCCAACCCCATAGCGCTGCAATGCTGTGGAAAATGTTGAAAACAGAAACAGATGGTTTGTAAATCATTTCAAGCTTGGAATTTAATTGAAAACAGTGCAAGTCAACACAACCTTAAAAATTAAACGCTTGATATTAATGACACAGTCAGGGAAAAACACAGAAAAAGTTCTGTAAAGTTTAAACAAAACATCTGGAAAAACTTATCAATTAACCAGAAAATGTGCAACCTGTTAGCAACGAACAACCCCAGAATAATTTTCCTGAGTATAAAATTCAAAGATTTTATCATTGACTCTGTACAAAAAGTACATCTCTGTACAAAAAGTATAAGGCCCAAATCCTGGAATAAACATGGTCCAATACTAGATGACTCTTAGATGGCTCTGAGTTTAAACAGACATGACTCTGGAAATCACTACATGGGCTCAAAACCACATCTGAAAACCACAGTTTCGGAGCAAAGCCTGTCACTGCATCAACAAACTCAGATGAGAACCTGACCATACAAAAAAGAAGCTATTTATAAACATGAGATGGCGACAACATCTCTGGGTCCAAGCTTATTTAACACAGACTGAGGTGAAGTGGAAAACTGCCCTGTGGTCTAACATCTGAAAATTTGGTATCCTTATAGGAAATCATGGACTCTTTATCGTCCACTCTAAGTAAAGGGACCACCTGGATTTTTGTCACTTCAAAAGCCAACACATGAGGTGGTATGGGGATGGGTAAGTGCTCATGGCATGGGTAGCAAACCTAGACTCTAGATGTTCAACTGGCCTGCCTGCAATCTGCCTTGTTATAGGGGTTTCACAGCTATTAAATTATAATAGTTTCCAACTTTTAATTAATATCAGTCAATTATAAATGCACTGTTCAATGTGATACTAGTCAGAGTCACATTTTATGAAGATTTATGAAAAAAGCAGCATGGCTCTTTCAAAACAAGCACAACGTAACTTCTTTTTTTTTTTTTTTTCGTAACCACAGAGATGCAGTGACACAAGTGCAGGCTGGCATGCACAACAATCACACAGAAATATGTGCAATGCCAGTCATCTGACCTGGAATACATCATCCTGTCAGCAGTTCCTCATTTCCCATGTGAATCTACAATAAAAACATTGACAGATATTACTAATGAAGTCCCACTCCAATTGTTTTTTTACTACTCTAAGTGTTATCAGTGGTCTTTAAATTGTGATTCTGAAGTTTTTAGCCAAAATCGCATTACCTGTGTCATTTTTAGGGGCTTTTCTTCTGCAGAGCAATGCGATGTGCAATTCAAGATCAAAACATTACTAGATTTGGCAGAGTGAATTTGAAACTCAGAGAAGGCATTAAACTGAGGGTTTTTGCAAGTACAACCATCAAACTTTAGCAACATTAAAGAACTTCTAAGAGTGACCAAAAATCTGATTTTTTAATCCTAAATAAAACAAGTGATGCCATTCATGACACGATTGACCATGCAATATTTTAAAGTCTGAATAACCTCATCTGAATAACCACAATCGACAATGTTTTTTGGGGGGCGCTTTCATTTCCTTTCTCTATTCACATTCCCTGTTACGTCCCAGGGGGTTGGACCTATGCATTTTCTCTTGGAAAGCTGAAGCTACTGCTGATGCAAGCCTGTACAGTCCAGTGGGACGTTGTATGTGATCTACAAAGAAAACCTGACATGGCTAAATTTTGCATGGCGTGTGAACTTGAATGCTTAAGTTGACAGCAAATATGTGCGCTGGCCCTGTCACTGCACATTGATTTCTAAGTACAACAGTTTGATGTTGGACTGCTCTCTTTTTGCCTCTACTCCTTCACTTAAACTGTTCAAGGTGGACAAATGCACTCCTGACAAGGAAAAAACAGTGTTTCTGTTTCAACCTTGAAATCAGGCTGCACTATTTCCAACCTTGTCTCAGAAAGGTTCTTAAAGGTTTTAATACAATGTGTTTTCCAAAGCCCATTTGAACATGCCCTTCGCAGAGCATTATAAGCTTGTGCCAGCATTGTACTAAAAACTGAATGGCTTTCGATTTTTTATTTCAAAGGAGTTACAGCATTTTGTGAGTGCTTTGTTAATGTTTGAAACAATTTCTGAACACAACACAAAGGAGAAGGAGTTTAGGGCCTTCAATAGTGCCTTGTGTGAAGATGTTACCAAGTGGAATGGACCAAGATCAAATCTAGGTATGAGCTTGTAGCAGATGCAAGGCAAGAGGGCCAGACTGCACGTTGACAGACTCAATGGAAATCATATAGCTTTTTGGAAACAGCTGTAGACTCCTATGGTATTAAATATATAACAAAAAGACACCTATTGTTGATTGTAAATGGCAGTTTTGCCAATATTTAGTCCACATACAGAATGGACAAGTTAAACAACTTCCTGTGTTTGATTTGCTCATTAAATGCTGATAGAAATCACTCTTAACTGTGCAAACCCAGACAAAGCTAGACCATTTATTAGCACTGTTGTGCGACAATGAAACAGACATATGAATGAAGCCAAAAGACATGGATGAAGACGGAAGCTAACAAAGAAGAAAATATATTTGATTTTATTTCATATCTTTATTGGTTAGGACACTTAAGACTTATAAAAAGTAAAATACCTTTTTGTTTTTGAACTGTCAGAATCACAGCTCTCATATAATTAATTGATTTTATCATCAGGAATTTTGACTTTGACTTTTAAGGTTCCAAATGGCATTGTGTTGGAATCCATATTTAAACTTGTATACAAATGTTAACAGTACATCTGACAGTAAATTGTAAAACGGGTGATTTTTGAAATGTGTATTTGAGTTATGAGAAATATGGCCAGGGTTTGTGCCACCGTTATGTGGTGAGAAGGGAGGAAGAAAAAGAGATGAGAGCGAAAAAGTCTTTTAGAGTAAGAGTCTGGAAATATAAATTGGAGAAAAACCATGTGTCATGGCTCTTACTATTAAGTTAAATGTCACTCCTGATGTTTCAAAGAGGGACATGCAATGTCCCCTCAGAGTCCATCGCTTGCACTTATGTCATCAACTTGTATTTATCGAATTTATCGTGACATGGCAAATTTTCATCATGGAGGATTTTTCTGACGATATATCGTAAACGATAATCTATTGCCCATCCCTAATTAATGTAACTGACTATTTCTTGATAGC